GGCGATGGGGTCAAGGTGAACAGCGTTGCACGTATTTTTGTAAAAATTACAAATGCATTAAAACAAATTGACAAGCCAAGATTTTTGATTTTTCTCCCTTAAGTGAATAAACAATGGTAGTGTTCGTTACAGCCCTGGAAGTAGGATGTTTCAGATTTTCTTTTCAGTTTGTAACAAAGACAGACAGAAAACTGTTTGAACAATTTATCAGAGAAATCTTGTTACTGTAATAATACCATTCAATAAAATAAAAGTGTTTCGATGTCTAATGAAAGGTCATTTCAAAATCCCAACTTTCGACGCGCATACATCAGAATTGTTCTAGCAGTACTCATTTTGTTAGTTCTTCACCGGACTGGATGGAAACCGGAGATCTCAGAAGCTGAGTTACCTAAACATATCATGGTTAATGTACAATCCGATTTGCTGATGATAGCCTAATGGACTTTATTGTGATGATCAAGGTATATACATCGATAATGTTTTATCTCATTTCCATTCCACATGTGCTGGAACCATTTTATTTTGGCATGTGACCCGAAACATTTCCATTTTAACTCGCAGTTACTTGTGAGTAGTAGTGATATGGTAATAAAATACACACCATCCTTAGGAAGGTTTCGAAAATCAGTGCCCTGCATCAAACGGTGGTGTAAACCAATCATGAGTTCTAAAGATACCAAAACTCTAGCTTGGTGCTTACTGACTGTAGTCAAATGACTCAGCTGAGGGCATTGCGCAAAGATAAATTTCTGACTAAATTCATTTTGGTCTGCGATATCCATGGAAGAAAGGTAAAGCAGCGTTGGTGAATCTGGAACAGAAATTGCAGTATTAGTGCATAGCTTAAACTTCTCGACTACTGTCGTCTTGGTTAGCGTTTGACGATGTTACCGTGCTCATCTAATCTCTTTTTTCCGGTCTAATGTCAGTGAAGACTAAAAGATTGGGTTTTCTGTCCAGTAGGCATTGATGGTTCTCGGCTCCCAGTGCTTTACGAAATATTTAATTTGATGATCGAGAAATATCAGGGCTTCCAAAATATAACTGTTGGCACTTCAATGCAATTGAGACTGAGATTTTGAGTTATTTTAGTGCATCTTCAAAATTAAAACCGATGTTCTATAAAATAGTGTCATAGAGTTTATTTTTCTACCATCGGTTATAAAATAGCAATATGGCATAAAAAATAGTGACACTGCCGGCATTTGTAGTATACGCACTTCATTATTAGACCGGACATACCAATGCCAACTGATGCTTACTTCCTAGTTTATGTTGCTGTGAGGAAACAGTACGTTCGCAGTTGTCTATATATACAATTCGATGCAACCAGTTTCATTAGTAGTACGTTAGCACGTCTAATTCTTCACAGTTGCAATCATGTAACCATATTTCATATTTATTTATTTAAAAGTTCAAACACCGGAGTTCAGTTCTTCAAACGCCAGGATCTCGATTTTCCAAAACTTTTTCAGCTACATCTAGACCACAGTATGATTATTGATAATGTGAATCCTCTTTCTTAGCATCACTCAGGGCACATGATCTTTCGTGCAACCATCGGTGTACCAATCTGCAATAGTGAACAACGGCAACAGAACAGGAATGTATAAATCAGGCTTCGAACGGTGCCTGAAGAGCAATTAATGCAACGCAAACAGTCATTATATGGTGCCCTGACAAATTGACGTTCAAACATTCGATGAGAGATAATTGCTACTTACGCGATATAAACATGAAGATTTGGTTACAAAAGTGACTCATCTAGCATCAACGAAAAACGTTTGTCCAAGAATGAACGGGATGTGTCAGCCCAAGTGAGACTCAAGTATGGCTTGTATGGTTCAAGTGACTTTCGGGAGTTAGTATTTTCGAGAATGTAGTAGTTTCATTACTCTAAAAGTAGTCACATCAAGCTTTCGACGGAGAACAGCAGGAGGTGAGTGACAGCGAGTCTCGAATGTTAGAAAACAAATGTTCCAAGCACATGGTACAATGCCGAAAACAAGTAGGATATAAACACCCGCATAAGCAAGATGTAATGCTGAGTCCAGAACAAATCAAACGAAATGGGTAATATTTTTTCAGACACTATGGACTTACAAGGACGATAAATAGATTTTACCAGTAGGCGTAAAAATCTTTATAACGAACTCTATTCATCCTGATCCTATACAAACCTCATAGAAAATCACAGATTGGGAAATTATTCAATAATCGGACCGGTTGCTTGCATTTCTACTGTTGAGTGAAAAATGAAATTGATGTAACCAATGTTTAACGCTGCATAATATATCGGGTAAAAATTTGGATAAGGAACGCAAGAGTTATCGTGTGAGATAGGACTGCCTGTTTAGTCGTTTGAAAATTCAAACATTAAAAATTCCATCACAGTTCTTTAGCTAACGCATATCAAAGTTTCACTCAGGACTTCATATATTCTCGTTGGATTTCGTTTTGTCTTGCACAATAGGTTTAGGTCTTTGGTGAGGTGGGCCAATAAATCATAGTGTAAAATTCGCATAGATATTGTGATTGATTTAATGCTCATTTTCGCTTTAGTAACCAACTGAACGATTGATGAAGATTTCCAAGATGTACTTGATTAATTAAAACGCTTATTAAATAAAATCAGTGAATAACTGTGGCTTATTACGTAAAACCCAAACGAATAGGAAAATGAATGTTTTTTGTATCCTCTCTGAATTTCCTCATTGAACTGATCAGCTCTTAATGATATGTGCTTCATCATTACATATGACTGAAATGTGTAAGCGGAAGAGGAGAACGACGAACTCCAGGATAGACGATCAAAAATGTGATAAATTCTAAGGAATTGTCCATCTAGATCGATCAGTTTGAGTGTTAATCTTCAGAAGAAGTAAAAGATATATTGGACGATCGATGCACCCGAGGCTTCGATCATATCTACTCGTAGTCACATGAGAAGTGTAGAAAAGCCGGTGAGTGAGTGAGTGCATCTCCCCAAGCTGTATCCGACGTTGTGCTCATTTTTGGCGGGTATCAGTGTCCCACTAACGTGTTGTGTCTTGTTCGCTAAGAGATGACCGAAGAAAGTATAGTGCTGGACAGATAATCGGCATTGACAAACGCAAGCAATAACTATGAGGCTGGTAATTACTGGAAATTGCCATCTTCTCGGATTTTAGAACAAGAAATATGAACACAAAAGTCAAGATATCCTGTCCAAAATGACTCGTACCGATACTCATCGGCCCTTTTGCTGCATCACCTTTTATACAAACTGACGGCAGGAGAGTATAAGCAGATATATGTTATAAGCACCGAAGTCAGATATATCACAGTGGATTGGGTAGAAGTAGGGTTTTAGCGCAAAAAACTGAAAATGCAAAAAGAGAAGTTGGAAACAAAACGAGAAAATGTGGTGGAAACAATATTGTTTTATTCCTTTTTATTTTTCGATTAATCGAAGCTAGCGTGGCGCCAACAGACGGAGGCTGTCAATGACCGGACAAACTTAGGTCAGTTTATTCTGAAATACTGTTGGCCCACAAATTATTTCCAGAGCTTAGCCTATGTTGCGTTTAATCTTATCCAGATTGCACTAGTCACACTCCAGCTGGCATAAATTTCATTGGCATAAAACCAGATTGCGTTTCGGTGGCAACCTCATAGGGCGTCATAAATACAGGTTGAACAGTACGTCGCAGGACGGCAAACAAGGTCTTCAAAGGCCCGGTCGGTTGGCGATGGCGGCATTTGAGGACAAGAACTCGTCAGAAGCAACAGCAGTGAAAATTCCAATGTCAACCCTTATATTCCTGCCTTCATTGAGACAATCGTTAAAGTATAATCTGCTGTGAAGTCGTCCATTGTGCCGCAGTGGATCAAGATGAACCTTATAATGCGAAAAGCACCATCTTAACTTATCTTGGTGCTTTCATTGTTTGGCTGTTATGACGAGTGTCATCTTTAGTTATGCACTGTTCTACGTTTTCGTGCAGTGATAAGTCACTGAGCAAAAAATGATGGAACCTAAAGTTCCGCATTCAATAAGTTTCAAACAAGGTTCTCGTCATATGTATAATGTGCTTTCATTGCTGTTTGCCAAATTTTGTTTACCCTCATCAATGTATACGCATAGAGCAAACTGAATAGATGGGGGAGTTGTGGGAAGGTTTCAAGTGCCTTGGTCGGACAGTATTGCGCTGCTTCGTCCAGAACAGCAATGAGTTCCTTTTACTCGCTGTGTTCAAACTAATTCAATGAAATTGTACCATTTAAGTGCGGACTCAGTCAGAGATTATACGTTCCAATGAACATAACAAAATACTCAGAACCCTGTTTTCTTCTGACCAAAACTAGCTCTTGTTGCTTCGATACGATACCAAAATAATAATACCACATGAAGGAAAATAAGTGTTGTATTGTGGAATGATTGCCAATTGTTTGCTGTTGCAATCACGACTTTCTCTGCATTCATGCAATGTCTTCAACGGACCCGATCCAGTATTAGTAAATGAAATACAAATCATTAGACCTTGCCTTTGAACGCGATGGATGCCACCATAAGGCTGTGATGAACCTTACATCTTAAGCTGACTTACACTAAGCACGAAAGTGGATGAACGCCACATCGTGTAGTGTTCTAGTATCTTATGTTGGTGAAGAATAAATCGTCCAGGTCTAGTAAAGAGTGCATCAAATTATTTCGTAATTACCGTTTTTGTTTGAACGGTTAATTTTTGAATTCAGATTTGAGACCTCTATAGGTCATAAGTATCGCAACTATTTTCGAAAATGCATCTATTGCAATGAACTGTGGAAACTAGAAAAACTTGGACACCTAATTATCTTCATAGAACATAATTTTCATTGTATTTCTCATGTTTGTCTCAGCCTTCTGTTCACCTTATTCTTTCCTTCTGTAGTGGAAAGAACTGAGTTTTTCACTGTTCCTCTAACCAAAAAGAGAGCACAGAAGGGAATGGTTAATCGTAGCACAAAATGATGATAGACAAACACTTTGTAATGAAAACTCAAGAATGATTTTTCAAATGACAAATGGGTCAGTTGTTACTATGTGATTGTGGCAGTGCTTAACGCATGACTAACTGGGTTGATTGTATTTTATCGATTTAATATGCATGCGATTGGAGAAACTAGATTGCTCCACATACAGATAAGGTTTAAATTGTCATGCAGTAAAAAAACAACTGACAACCCATAACAAAAAGTGAACATGCACGTACACATACACATTCACGTGTAACAAGGGATGGAGTAGATTTGAAACGAACTTACGTCCTGCATTACCATGATCTTGTCCACTCGTGGCAACAAATGATGCTGATGCGTAACCAAGAGACGTAATCTGTTCGACAGGATGCCACAAATACATTCCTCAAATAAATGATTCGCCACCCGAGCATCAACTGCGGCCAAAGGATCGTCAAGAAGTACAAACATCGCGTCGCTGTATGCTATCCGGGCCAAACCGATTCGAGCTTTTTGTCCACCACTCAAACTGACTCCACGTTCACCTACTTGCGTGTAATCTCCATGTAACAACCGTTTTATGTCCTGATCGATGACAGATGGGGACAATAAAAACAGATTCAATTTAACATAGGTCATAGTGTACTCCATACTGTTACCAATAAACTTATTTAGATTAATTAAATCCGAATGATGACCTGTGAGATAGTATTGCCGATCAAGTAGTTTTTCTATGTTCTCTGTTTGACAAATAAATGAGTCACACTGGACGAGTTCACTGTAACGCGCAATCCGTTCATTGGGGCTGCCTTGATTCCCTTCACAGTGAACAGACAAATGTTCAGAAATGAAGACAACTCTCTTAGATCCTCTCACTCTAAAATTTAAAACCGAGTAGGTACAAAGAAAGAAGTTGATAAGCGAGTAGGATATTATCGGATGCCGACGTGAAGCAACTAGCTATACTTCAGCTTCAATGCCTAAGACGAAAAACCTTTTGTGCCGACTTTATAATTCCAGGGGATAAGGAGAGACGCACAAAAGCAAAGCAGATAACCGTTGCTTCCAAGGGCTTCCGGTTGAGAGTGAACCGTTCTCTGAATAACGAATGCTCCCTGGCCCATAAACAGAAATAACTCCAAAATCGATTTAAATGAAATAAATCCTATCACAAATTATTGAAATATGCAACGCCCAAAATTGCCACAATGGCAATGTTTAGTTGCATGCCAAATAAAATGCCGAACGGTCGGCGATTTCACTTTTGTAACAGCAGAAACATTCCCATTGCCATAGTAAGAACAACGTGCAACAGAGGAAGCAATTTCTTGATAAGTATTTACCTGATTTGTGTCCACATTATGATCAGTCCATGTGTTCAATCGGGCTGAAATTAAGTCAGGCTATATCAAAAGGGGGAATGCCATGTATATTTGCATATGAAAGCCATCTCAGCTATGTCTTGGATAGAACCCTTGCTGAAGCACTGCAGAATTTCTCCATATGACTAAAGCAGAACTAACGCCCGGATGAGTTGCTTCTGACTGCAGACGTAGAGGGATATTCAATGCTTGGATTTCGCTCGTCTCGATTGTCTATAAGTTGATAAACCAGAATCGTTTTATTATCAGTGAAAGCGGGCGTAGAAAATCATCCGAAACGCTTTATCATGTCTCTAGTAGGCTTCGCCGTCATTGTTATTCTGTCCATTCCTCTGGCACACGGATTATGTGATTTGCCCGCGTAAGCAAATCCTATAAACCAAACTAATGATAACCTTAATGAAAAGTAGTGTGTACTGATTAGGAGTGACCACCTTTTAGACTTCATCTTCACACTAAATCCTAAGTTCATCCAATTAACCATGCACTCAGAAAACCCCGACTTTTGTCCTGTTCTTGAATATCGCGCACCCTCCGTTACGATGGGTTCTCGAATTCGGAGATGGAAGACGTGTGAAATCACTCTGATATTAGGACTGACCACAATTAATAAGTCCGTATGCCGTCCTCAATGATAGTCAGCCTTTTCACTGAGTCCGAAAAAATGCAGTAAAAGTTGGATCAAGGGATGATTATATACAGACATACCACATGCCCAGGTTAGCTCCACATAAATTCTTAAACTAACGCGGTCATCAAAGAAGCGTCGCAAGGTTCAATTTTCAAATTTCCGGATATCTTGAAACTGAGAATAATCTTTAGTGATTAAACACAACAACACCTAATGATAGTTTCAAGTTGCGCAACAGAGGACCGGAAAGTAAAATTATTGCCCTCGATGTCACCCGTGATCCAGCAATGGGCAAAATTAGGACAACGATATATGGAAGGGTTTATTTAATTTTGTTGTTTCCACATGTTGATTTTACTGTGGTAGAACTGTAACTGATAAAAAGAACGAATTGCAGTGATATTGAAACGTATTCTCTATTTTATTCGGGCTGCAGTTTGAAGTTTTGGTAATCAGAAAAGAAAAAATCCAGGTGTACCCAAAGTTGGCAGAACGCATTGTGTGCTTCAAGATCAGACGTCTTTGAATTAATTAGTCGTTTTAATTACATGAGACTTAACCAGACGCCACTGAATTCTTGATTATCTCCGAAGTTACGTAACCACTCCAAGAGATAACTTCGACGAAAGGGGAAGAGATGTGCCTACAAATCAACATATTCGAGAGATATGAGTTGATCAAGTGATGAAAATAAATAATCGTATGCAGTCTTCTTAGTGAAGTCACTCAATCAAAATACCTTTGGTATTCGACTCAATCAGTCGTTATCGTTGTAAATTTTTAAATATACTTTTCAGATTGCTCATGCAGCGCATGTGTCGCTAATTTAGAGAACAGACAATACTTGCGTCAGAATAACGTACATTTAATCTGATTAAGCGATAGAACTATAGAAGTATAAGCACGTGCAATAATGTGGCATTCCACTGCGGGAGGTTCGGTTAACTAGTAGATCCACTTACTCTCCCAACAGAGTACACGCTTTGAGTAGCACAGTCCGTCACTGATCCTGTCTACCTCCAAGATTGAATAGTGCAATGACTGCTAACATCACCAAGGAACTAATTTAATTCC